CTCATCCACCGCCCAGGAAAAACGTTAAGTCACACAGACGCCCTCAGCCACTGCCCCCTGCCAGCTCCAGCAGAAGACCCGGCCCCGGTCCACGCCATCTTCGATGTCACCGAGCTCGACCTTCCTGTCACCGCTCTCGACATTGCCACCAAATCCAAGACGGACAAAACCATCGCCCAGGTACTGGACTGGGTGAGGAGGGGGTGGCTGGGCTCTAACCTCGCAGCCGAATTCACACCTTTTAAGACCCGTCAACAGGAACTGTCCAGCATACAGGGCTGCCTGTTGTGGGGCACCCGGGTTGTTATTCCGGCCTCACTTCGCACACCAGTCTTAGAGGCACTACACGAGGGCCACCCGGGCATCGTCCGGAGGAAGGCGTTGGCACGGAGCTACTTCTGGTGGCCTGGCTTGGACGACGACATCGTCAAGTGGGTAAGCTCATGCCAACCCTGCCAGGAATCCAGACCTTCCCCTCCTGTCACCACCCCCACAAAGTGGGAGAGCGCCAACGCGCCTTGGTCAAGGCTACACATTGACTTAGCGGGTCCTATACACGGCAAAACCTTCTTGGTGGTCGTAGATTCATACTCAAAATGGATCGACGTGGCCCAACTATCCACGACCACCACGCTAGCAGTTACCAAGGCTCTAACTCGCCTATTCGTAACACACGGGCTACCAGATACCATTGTTTCGGATAACGGCCCCCAGTTTGCCTCAACAGAATTTAGCCGTTTCGCCACAAATCTTGGCATCCGTCATATCTTCACGGCTCCCTTCCATCCTGCCAGCAACGGACTGGCAGAGCGAGCCGTTAGATCCACAAAAGAAGCGTTGGCCAGATTCAGCAAAGAAGATTGGCATCACAGACTCTCCCGTTTCTTGCTTAGTCAACACTCGACCCCTTGCATGGTCACCAACAAATCCCCTGCTGAACTTCTAATGGGTAGACGCCTAAGAACTGTGTTGGATAGGCTCCACCCTCACTATTGCCCTGACACCCCTCTCGCTTCAATGACGGGGGGGTCAGAGATTTTGTCTTGCAGGAACATGTATTTGACCCTCTGGCAGGGTCGAGAGATATTGTACCTCTCTTCCCTAGCCGGCTAAACCCCCTTTTCCAAAGGCAGCTGAGCAGCAGTCAGCAATGGCCGCCACATAGAAGAGCTCAGCCGTAAAAAGAAAGTGCAGGAGGAGCTGTGAAGAAATGAAAGTGATCTTTGCTGACCGGGACAAAGTAACAGTGAAAGTACCCTGGAGCTTAAAACTTACTAAAGATACATCGTTTCCAGACCGTACTAAGCGGCGAATGGAAGTTAAAGGAAAAACTTTTTTTCTTTTCACTCTCCTTCCAAACGTGACAGCGATAGAACTTTATGAGAAATCAGAAAACCTGCATTGGAGGTATGCTAAAGGCTAAAGGCTAAATGCTAATGCTAAAGGTATATGGATTTCTGAATATTTAAAGAAAAATCTTTTTTGCTGTAAGTGGGAAGGGAGAGGAAAAAAATCGGAGTAGAATTTGAAAACGAGGAGACTGCCTAGAATTTTAAACAGCTATTGAACATTAATAAGACTTCAAAAAGATATATCTTAATTGAAACTTTGTGATTAAACAGCAACCCCAGAAAGAGAAATGGAAGAAAGAAAAAAGTGCTAAAAGAAATAGTTTATTTGGATTGTTTGGTGACTTTGGAGTCCTTGGGAATTATTCTTGATTAAAAGCACTTGGGTGGTTGTTTTGGAAAAAAATTTTCTCTTTACAATGGCATCGCTTGTGGATGAATTAAAAATTGAATATCAAAAATACAAAGAAGAAGAACAAGAAGGGAAAGATACTTTGGGCACTCTTTTTCAATTTCTAGAAATGGCGGTATGTACTTATGAAAAATTGACTGCGCAGCAGGACGATTGGGATAAAGAAGAAGCCATCTTTGATGAACAAGTGATTCTATTTGGGGAGGAGGAAAAAGAGGAAAAGAAAAAGGGGACTTTAAGACTAGAAAAAACCAAAAAAGAGAAAAATGAGTTGAAAGGTGGATACAAGGTTAGAAAACAACAGAAAGGGGGAAAGCAGAAGAAGAAAAGGGAGGTGGAGAGACAAAGGGGTAAAAAGGGTAAGGAGAAGAATAAGCAAGGGAGAAAGGAAGGGATGAGAAGCCTCAATGGTGGGAAGCAAGATTTAAAGAAACAAAATTCATTTAGAGATAATGGGTAAATTTAATTGAAAAAGGGATTCTGTAAGGTACATAAGATTGTGTTTTTATATGTGTATTTAGAATAAAATGCCTAAGAGATAAATGAGTATTAATATGTATGATTAATTTTTTAATGGCATTGATAGTGGTCTTAGCTACATTATATACCTATAAATTTGTTCCTTTGTTGTTGTTGTTTTTCTTTCTTATAAAATAGATTGTGTAATTTTAGAATGCACTAAACAGAATCCCAATACAAATTATGTGTTATATTAAGTATTATTAAGTTAGGGGAAAGAGTTAAAGGCGTCATACTCCAATCAGTGTACAGGAGAAGTATTGTTCAAAGAGAAAAGATGAATGGATAGCTGGAAATAGAACAGACAAAGAATGATAAGTATTATGATTTGAACTGAGATGAGATAAATAAAATAAAACAAAACAAAGAAAGTTAAAAGAGGGAAGAAGCTATATAGAAAATTGAAAATGGTAATAAGATATGGAATGGTATATAAAATGAATATGATTTTTGAATTTGTGTCTGTACGAAGAGTTTTAACCCGGGATCAAGCAACTTTCAGAAAAGATGTCTTATGTTTTTATGTTTTATGTTTTGTTTGTTTGTGTATTGTCCTTGAAAAGCAATAAAAATTTTATTAGCAAGAAATATAATTTGAATAATAGAATGAAAGGGAGAAATAAAGAGAAGTTGGGATAAGATATGAAGTTGAACAAATAATGTAAATATATATATTAAATTGTGTTTGTATGGAAATGTGATAATTTGGAAGTATTCTGTTTCTAAATAAGATGTTCTATTGGTTTTTTCAGAAAAGATCGTTTATGTTATTATATTCTATGCTTTGTGTATTGTTTTGTAAAAACTAATAAAATTTGTTTTTTTAAAAAAACTGATTTATGGCTAAACAGTCTATGCACAGAATCTGCTGAACTAACAATTAGCACCTGCTCGGAGTTAGACAATAGACAACAGAATTCAAGGAGGGTTGGATTTACAGCTTGAGCAGACTACTCTGGCACTGCACATGACGCAACATATGTATCTGTTATTCAAGGACAGTTACATAAGTGTTCCATCAGAAAATGTTAACATTTCTTGCTTGTATGTGCCTTGCCTTCCCCCGTTTCCCATTATGAAGTCAGAAGCAATCATGTGCATGTAGGAGCGCACCTCTGCACAACCCACAGTTGGAATTTCAGAGGGTTTGTGTCAGCCTGTATTGCTTCATGTTCAGGAGCTCAAAGTACTGGAGAGTCTTGGTCCCTCTTTCCGTCCATCCATTAACTTTGTAAGATAAAGGGATGAGAAAATGTGATGAAGTCCTCCAGGAATGTCCATGTTGAGAAGCTCCTTGTTCCTCATCTAATACCTTGATTGCTGCATCAGAATTGAGTTGAACTCTCAACTTAAGTGGTTTACTGAAGTTTTTCCTTGTGGAACTATTCTAAAAGTTCTTAGATTTACCTTAGGATCTCCAAGGAGAGCCAATGTTGTTCTGAAGCTGTCTAGGGCTTAAAACGGCCTTTTCCAGATCCAATGCGGACGATAAAGTGTGGGCTTTATCAAAGCTGGGAGGAAAGATGGGAGGAAAAATTGGTGGCTGTCAATTCTCTAATCTCCTCTCCCTTCACTTTAGAATGTTCTTCTGATGTTCAGCTGAAAACCTTCCGTCTTCTGAAGCACCAGGGATAAAATCAACTCTCAGGTTCTTCTGGAGACAGTAACTCCCTTTTCCTTTAAAATTCTCTTTATGAGACTAATCAGTAATTCTCTCATCTTGTCCTCATGCTAGAGTTAAAAGGCCTCCCCACAGAGAAGAGAGGAAGATAGGACGACCCTCCCTCAGCCACCTTGTTCATAGCTGAACTGCTCCAATAATGAAGAGAGTCACATAGATCTGTTCCACCCTTGACATGGGTCAGTTGCCACTTGAGAACATTAAGCCGTGTTATGTTCTTGGCACAGATGTGTCCCAAGAATTTTTCCATAGGCAAAATAGGATGGTAAAGTTGGATGGTAATTCACCAGAGGAAAACAAGCAGACATGCTAGAAATTGAGAATGTTGGAGTTTTTGGAATCATTTGTGAGTGGTCATTTAGTAGATGGACACTTGTTGAAATGGTGTGAGCTCAAGATAGTCATTGTTACAGAAAGGATCCCACCTACTAAGATGGTAATAATTCTACTCCATTGCACTCCAGAGGTAAAGGACATTTGGTATAATCGACATAGCAGAAGCACCCCTAACGTCCAGCCTGATGAACAGCCAAGAATTTTGAGGTGTTCTAGTTGTTCTGAAATTAGTGAAAAGGAAAGAATGTTTCAATGGTGTTGTAGCCCAAGCTCCAATACCACATGATAGTGGACAGCCATTGATCAATTTGAACATAGGTGGCATAGGCGGGGGTATCTGGTACCTGCCATGACACTGTGGTGCCTGCAAGATGCACCCCTAGCATCTATCTACAGCCAGATAAAAGATTAAGACATAATAGACCACGTCATGAAACACTGATTGTGATGACTTTGACTGCTACACATATATATATCCAGGATCCCAACCCTTGTGCTGAAGTGTTGAGTAGTTGAGGTGCTGAATTGTAGAGGAGCTGAGTTGCTGAGTTGCGAGGTGTTGAGGAGCTAAGGTTCTGAAGTGCGGAGGTTCTGAAGTGCGGAGGTTCTGAAGTACGGAGGTGCTGAAGTGCTGAGGTTCTGAGGTGCTGAAGTGCTAAGGTACTGAAGTGCTGAGGAGCTGAGGTGCGGAGGTGCTGAAGTGCTGAGGAGCTGAAATGCTGAGGAGCTGAAGTGCTGAGGAGCTGAATTGCGGAGTTGTTGAGGAGTTAGGTGCGGAGGTGCTCAAGGGCAGAGGAGCTGAGGATCCTGGTGAGGAAACACCTCTGGAAGGATGACCAGATATTTCAAATTAAGTTTAACAATATAAGAGATCCAAGTCCCTCCTTATTGGTCAGAATGTCTTCTTCCACACCATTGGGAGCTGCACTCTTGTGGCAGCTGCATTTGGCTACAGCTCTGTCTTTATAAAATTAGTGTCTTTATAAAATACATAAAACACTTGTTTTTAGTATAACCTTTAAGGGCTAATGTTTTTATGGTTTGAGTTTTAATTTACCAATCCCATTTTTCATTATTGCGACTATTCCTCTAGATTCTCTAGGACAGAAACATTATTTATTTGCTTATCTTTTTATGTTACTTGTGTTCAATACTTGTCCTAAAGGATCAAATCAGAGGAACTGGAGGGCAAATATAATTTAAAAATGATGTGCTATTCTAGACATTGTCTCTCAAGATCTACATTCCAATTTTTGAAATAAAAATGTTAGAGCTATTCTGCATTCTCACCTATTACCTTATCTTCTAGTTTCCATCACTGATTTTGCGATGGAAAACGATTTGTTGAGAAAATTAAGAGAAAACATGAAACGTCTCCAAAAAGAGGTAAGAGAAAACATTTGTTCATAGGCTAAATGCTATTGCCAAGTGTTGTGGAATGTGTAGAAAGGTATAGAAAGGTAGGTAGGTAGGTACCATAGGTAGGTCAGCCCAGCCAGTGCCTGAGAATAAAACACAAATAAATGGAAGGAAAGCAACGAGAGAGACCTGGAGTCTCTATTGCATCTTGGGCAGCCATATGAGTAGGATGAATGAATCGATGAACTTGCAGAGCTAGTTTAGGTCATTGTAAATATTCATTTAACATATTTAATAGGTCAAGTTGCCAATGGAGATTTTACCTGACTTTAGCAGGAGCACTTTTTGTTTTCTCTGCACTTGAAATGAAAGGGCTATTTGGGGATATAGTAGAAGAACTCCCTATTTGTCCCATTCCTATCCCCAAGATGCTTTTTCAAGAGGCAACTGGACTTTTTGTTTTTTTGTTTTCCTTGAAGATGTATAGATTCTCATCCAAGAAGCTCCTTCAGTTCTGGATGAATATCAAAATCTTATTTTGTTCACTAGTGTGAATTTCCGGGGAAGGGTGCAAAGTAGATGCTAGAAGATACAGTTGGCACCTCAGATTTGAAGATGAAACTATGTTTAACATCAACCTAAGTCACATAGAGCTGTTTTTAGAAAAATTAGTGTCTTTAATTACTGTCAATTAGTTTTTTAAAAAAATAGGGTATTTTGTCATCGCAGGAAGAAAGATCCAGACTTCCTCTTCTGTCATCTACCACAGGAGAAAGGAGACGCGCTGAGGTATATAATGTATACTTGTAGGTCACGTTAGTATATGTTTATGAAAAAAATGTAGAGAAACTGTAAATATTTTTTTTTCACAATTGATAGTTAATAAGGCATGTGCAACATATTTTATATAGTGTATATGCTTGTTTTATATTTCTACTGCATATATGAGATCCACACACAATTATCAGAGTTCATGCTCATTCTTGGTTCGTTCCTTCCTTGCTACATTAACTACTTGCTTTGGCCACATACAATAGTGAAATAAAATTTAGATGTTTCATATTTTGTTTGAACCACTGTGTTTTGCATTTCCTAAACGGATTAACTAAAATTAGATCATTCTTTTTCTATCCCAGCGTGAATATTTATTGCCTGCATTGAACATCTTCAGCAGAGGTCTTCAAACTTGATAGCTTTAAGACTTGTGGACTTCAACTCCCAGAATTCCTCCTCTAGTCAGGTTAGCTCAGGAATTCTTGGAGTTGAAGTCTACAAGTCTTAAACTTGCCAAGTTTGAAGACCCTTGATCTACAGCAATAAATTGGGAGTTGCACGTGGTTGTGCTCATCTTGACATTCATGATTTTAATATGCACAAATATACTTGTCTACACCCCAGACTTTTTTCCTAAAGAGGAAGTTTAAACTAATATCCTCTTTACACTGACATCAGATAATTTATGGAAACAAATTAATGTAATTCTTCTCATGATCATGAAATGTATCTCCCAGAAAAAGGAAGAAACGTAACAAGCAAACCTCTAAAATTCATTTTATGTTTGTCATTCTTCACGGAACTGCCAGGTTTCCAGGAGCCGAGAAAATATTAGGATACACCTGGGCCAAGATTTAACTTTAAAGATGCGTTCCCATCAGGTAAGCAACCTAGCATGTGAGGAACCTTTTGAGTGTGCCTGACCGAGGAATAGTTCACGTCATAATAAGAGGTGAAGAAGCCCAATGGCAAGTGATGGGGTAATGGGGGTGGGAGTAATCAGTGGGCTGATATGGAAATGTATTCCTGACTTGTGATGTATTTTGGTTTCTCTAGATTGTTCAAACAAAAACCGAAAGATTGGAAGTAGATCTGAAGAGAGCGAGGCAGCAGAGTTATACGTAAGTCATGGCATAAATCATGCCTTTATGTGGTGCACAAATGTTTTAGATATCCTCTCTAGGATGATTTCTGAAAAGTATTTAGTAACAATTTCCTGTTTATTATCTTGATGGATTATCTGCCCTCAAGTCATTTAATACTCACCTAGTTTATTTAGTGATTACATATCATGAGATAATCATACATTCCTAAAAAAGAAGCACTCCTTCAAATCTTGGCATGATTCTATTAAGTTCACACATTAAACACAACATTTCTCTTTTCTACATTGGCAATGGGACTGGCCATTTTATCAAACAAGTGATGAAAATTATGTTCTCCTAAAGCTTGGAAATAAGGTGGGAATAGCAACCCTTGAATTTGTTTTTTAAACAAAACCTCTCATAATGACTGACAATTGTATTAATACCCTTGATATTTCATGCTCCCTCATAAACAAGGTCCTGCCTTAATCACTGAGGAAGCAACTTGTTCTGATAGGTTGACAGGTAGGCATTTGTGAGAAGTGAGAACTTTCCCCATATCCTACATCCACAGCTTTACTTTGCTTCTGAAAATCATTTTGAATTTGTTTGAGCCTTTCGTGGAAGGTATAAAAAAAAAGAAAAATAACCGGTTAAAGCGTTATTTCCTGTGTGTTTATAGAAACACAAACACACACACACACACACACACACACATATGAAGGTATTTTGATGTGTTTTAATTGAAGAAAAAGATTGATAATTCAAGTAAGAAAATGAATTAAGGGAGCTAATTTCTCTCCGGTATTCATATCTGCAGAAAGACAATGGAAATGTCAAAAATGCTGACAGAAAAAGAGGAGCTGGAATTAAAAATTCAGGAGCTTACGAATAAAAATCTTCAACTGGCCAAAGAAAAAGAGGAACTCTGCGAAGAATATGAAGAAAAGCTGAGCAGGTGAGAAAATTTTAGATAGCAACCCTGACTTTCTCTTCCTTTCTCAGTTATTTCAATTAGTTTTAATTTTGAACAAGTTTTATGATTCCAATAAAAAAAATCTAAGGGGGCTAATTTCACTATTTTACAGGAAAAGTAGCTCTGATGAGTCTGAGCAGCTGGACAAACTCAGACGGGAGAATGAGAGTCTCAGCTGCCAGATTCAAAGATTCGCTGGAGAAAAAGCAGAGCTCCTGCGAGAAAATAATGACCTTAAAGAAGAACTTTATAGGTGAGAAATATTTAGATGCAACCTTAACTTTTTTTTTCAAATATAAATTTACTTATTAGAGCCCTTAGGCCAGATACACTGGATAAAAGAAATAGTCCATTCTTTCATAAGTATGTATAAGTGAATTAGAGCAATAGGTATAATGAAATACAAAAATTATTAGGAATGTAGGTATGCTTAGTAATTCAAGTAAAAAATTAAGAGGGCTAATATCTCTCTGGTCCTCAAAATTTACAGAAAGACAGCAGTGATATCAAAACTGATATCACAGAAAGAAGAGCTTCTAATCCAGACCGAGATGCTGACGTTCAAAAATATTCAACTAAGCGACGAGAAAGAGGCGCTCTGCAGAGAGTACAAAGAAAGACTGTGGAGGTGAGAAACTTTTAGATAGCCACCATGAACTTCATGGTGTTCCGCTCCAAAATTTTTATATTAAGTTCTCCTTATCTTAGAAAGCTTGGAAAAACTTGACAATCTCCTTACTTTACCAAGAATTATGGCTCATTATACTTTTACAAATACAAATCTAGGAGTTAATCCCATGGAAGTGAATGGGAAGATATGTGTAGGAGATATGTATATGTATAGGAGATCCCCTATACCTCCAATCCCCACTGGACAACAATATTTATACCCTTCAAGAATGAAAGCTAACCGTCTGGTTTTTTTCTAGAGAGAAACAACTGAGGAAGGGCTGCCGTGCATTCTCGATGGAGGGAGACCAGATGGACCAGAGAATTAGTGTTAGGGAGTGCAAAAGAGGCTCCGAGAGTGTTTGCCAAACAAGGGCAGACATTACAGAGGACAAGACAGAAGAAGCTCATGAAAAAATGGTGGAACATAAATTGAATAAGAAGTGGCTTAAAGCTTCGGTGGACAGCCTCAAAACCAAAAAATCTAAGGAACCCAGGGCAAATGTACTGAGATGGCTTCAGCAATCTCTGAAAATCCTGAAAGAGGATTACTCTAAACTGTCAAGATACACCCTGCCAGAATGGCTTAAAGCATCCACGACCAACCTCCCAAAGGAATGCGATGAGGCATCCAGGGAGGATGTGAATGGTTGGCTGCATGTATCGCTAAGTCATCTCCAAGAAGAAGGGCCGGAAACGTGTGATTTGGATGTGCAGGAATGGCTTGAAGCATCTATTATAGGCATTCAACATCGACAAAAGTCCAAGTAAAAGTCTTGAGGAAGCCTAAGGAAGGGATGCTTTGAAAAATCAATAGAGAACCTCAAGAAGTAACGTCCTGAAGGATCTGTGGTGAATATATTAGAATGGTTTCAAGGATCCTTAGAAAGCCTCTCACTGTCTGGAGAACCTAGACCAGTTCTTGAAAAGTGGCTTTGACAATCCTTGGAAAACCTGCAAGAAAAAGGTTCTGAAGTATCTAAAGAAGATGCCCAAAATGGCTCAAAATATCTGGGAAGAATCTTGAGAAGGAAAGAGCTAAAACACCAAACCTAGATACTGAGGAATGGTTTGAAGCCTCTATTTAAGGCATTCGGGATCTACAGAAGTCCCTGATAGAGATTACAAGAACTCTAAGGAAGAGATGGTTTGTCAGTAGAGAATCAATAGAGAACCTCAAGAAGAAATGTTCTGAAGGACCCATGGAGAATATATTACAATGGCTTCAAGGATCCTTAGAAAGCTTTTCATTTTCTGAAGAACCTGTACCACCGCTTCTTGAAAATGGCTTCAACAATCCCTGAAAACTTGGAAAAGGGCCTGAAACATACAAACAAGATGCCAAAAATGGCTTGAAATATCTGTAAATAGTTTCAGAGAGGAAGGACCTGAAACATCCCGTCTAGGTACTCAGGAATGTGACTTGAAGCATCTATTAAGGGCATCCAGAATCTCCAATACTCTTTAAGGAATCAAAAGCAAGCATGGTAAAGAGGAAGGAGAGAGTGATTTGTGTAGAACCTGTTTGCTCTGAAAGAAACTAAAAGATGGATGGATGGATGGATGGTTTCAAACATCTTTAGCAAGTTCCAGAAAGCATGGTTCTATCACAATCCCCGGAAGAAGCCAGAAACAACCCAGAAGAATGGCTCTAGGAATCCACAGAAAATGTCCTGAAGAAATTGAGCAATATGTGAATGAGTAGCTTGAGATAGTCTTCAATCACCTCCACGAGGAAGGGCCTGAAACCTCCCATCCCATTTTGGTATAGGCTTGTCTCTCATTTCTGCTGCTTCTAATGCGACTGGGATCAAGATGACCGAATGAACACACCGGAAACCTATCGGCAAATATGTATTGTTTTGTTTTTTTAAAACTGCTTGGGCTTTTTTTAAAAATGAGTGGCATCTACGGTATTACAGCATGAGCTTCATTCCCAGTGAATGCTTGTCATCAACCATTGTGATTATCTAGATGCTGCCTTAAGTTGGGTGGGAGGAGAAAAGAAAGAGAGTGGAAGAAAAAAGGAAAGAAGGAGAGATTGATATGGAGGAAGAAAGGGAAAGAAGCAGGGCCAAACAACAAGCATGATTTATGCCAAAATGTCAAGAACGGATAGACAACGGTAGAGTACAGACAAAGGATAAACCAAGGCTGCATATGACATACAGGCTGTCACACTAACCTACAGAGCACAACTCACAAACAAAGAGATCCTTGGGAATTAGGAATTTTGCCAGTGAGAGCTGGATGATGCCCGAAGATAACCATCAAAGTTAAATAATTCTCAATGATAGCCTATCAAGAAACTTCAAGCCAAGTAAGATGTCACAAAAGCTGTCACCAAGGATCTAGTTGAAGAAATGCATTTAAGCATTAGTTTAGAAATTAGATCGGTCAGCAATGACAATAAGTTTAGATGCACACCTCTGTTTCTAGGTGTTATGAAGAGGAAGCATTTTTCCTAAACAATACATATTAGTGTTACACAGTCTCATGTGAATTTACCCTACATAGATGTAAACAAAATGAGAGATGATTCTGTAACTAAGCGGTTAGTTTACGGATCAGAAGGTCTGGAAATAGCTTTCCCATGAACTCAAGGGCTGTCTTAAACAAGCCATGATCACTTAGCACATTTAGGAAAGGAACAAGGGAGATTTATTTGTCATGGCTGTGGTAAGAATTTCCAAAGCATCTTGACGAGGAGCACTCTGAATATTGCACCTTCTCTGCTGGAGAATCTGTGGGCCTCCAGTATTTTGGGGGTAGAAATTCCCACTCGTGGGCCTTCCCTTGGGGGCTGCAATCCAGGAAGATGTGCAGCACCGCTCTTCAGAGAAGATTCGTCTGATTCTTACAGGAGAAGTGTCAGCTCAGTTTCGGCATGTGCTACGCTCTTATGGACTATTTCAAATGGATCTTCACTGTTGATCATTTTCTTTGTTTGGAATCAACTCACCTGCGTGTATAAAATGATTTAGGGCACCACATGCAGCTCTCATGGAAAAGCCAGAAGTGAAAGCTGGAAGCTTTGAAAGTGAAAAAGAATCAACCAAAATCAGGAGTGCTGCCCTGAGTGCACCATTGCTAACATAACAATGCAGCCTAGGTGAAAGGGAAGGGGTGCCTTATCAGGAAACTTCTCAAGA